GCGGCGCCCCCTCCGCCGCCGCGGCGCCAGCGGCTGCACTGGTGCGATGGCCGAGCAGGGACGCGACCCCTGGCCAGCACCGCCTCTGCCGCCGCGGCGCGGGCGGGCCTCGAGGCGTCGGAGCGCCCGCCGGGCCGCGGCCGGGAGCTGCAGGCCGGACGTGCCGAAACACCCCTGCGGGCTGCGGGGCGCCCGCGGGCACTGGCACCTTTTGACCTGCGGGAGACGGCGATCGGCCTCACCGCCGCCGAGCCGCCCAGGGCCGCCCTGCACGGCGCGGCGGCCGCCGCGCCCGTCACGCCTGCGGCGGCCGAGGCGGCCAGCCAACACCGCCGCGCCCCTGCCCACAGAGTACCGCGCACCGCGCACTACGCCGCGGCGCGCGGGCGCCATCCGAGGACGCCTGCCAGAGCGCACCGCACGGCCGAGGCTGACAGGGCCGTCGTCGTCGTCGCAGTCGTCGTCGTCGTCGTCGTCGTCGTCGTCGTCGTCGTCGACGCCGCCGCCTCCGCCGCCGCCACAGCCGTCATCGTCGTGTCGTCGTCGGCTTCACCGTCGCCGTCGCCGTCGCCGTCGCCGAAGCTGTGGCCGTCGTCGTCGTCGTTGTCGCCGTCGTCGCAGTCGCCGTCGCCGTCCGAAACTCGGTGGTGGTCGTCGTCGTCGTCGACGTCCACCGTCCGCCGTCGCAGTCGTCGTCGTCGTCGTCACATCGTCGTCGCGGTCGTCGTCGTCACGCCATCGACTTCATCCGCCATCCGCCGTCGACCTCATCGTCGACGTCGTCTGGGGTCCACCGTCGCAGTCGTCGTCGCCGTCGTTGTCGTCGTTGTAGTCGTCATACGCCGTCCGCCGTCCGCCGTCGCAGTCGTCGTTGTCGTCGTCGTTGGCGCAGTCGTTGTAGTTGTCGTCGTCGCAGTCGCCGTCGTCGTCGTCGTCGTGCGCGGTCCGCCATCGCAGTTGTCGTCGTCGTCGTCGTCATCGTCGTCATCGTCGCCGTTGTCGTCGTCGCAGTCGTCGTCGTCGTCGTCGCCGTCGTCACGTCGTCGTCGTCGGCGTTATCGTCGTCGACTTGCAACCCGCCGTCGAAGTCGTCGTCGTCGTCATCGTCGTCGCCATCTGGTGTCCACAATCGCAGTCGCCGTCGTCATGGACGTCGTCGTCGTCACCGTCGACGTCAACCGTCCACCGACGCAGTCGTCGTCATCGTCGTCGTCGTTGTCGTCGACGTCGTCGTCTCCGCCGTTGTCATCGTCGTCGTCGTTATCGCCGTCGTCGTCGTCGTCGCCGTGCGCCGTCCGCCGTCGCATTCGTCGTCGTCGTCGTCATCGAAGTCCGCCGTCCGCAGTCGCAGTCGTCGTCGTCGTCGACGTCGCTGTCGTCGTCGACGTCGTCCTCGTCCGCCACCCATCGTCGTTGTCGTAGCCTTTGTCGTCGTCGTCGTCCGCCATCTGCCGTCGCAGTCGTCGTCGTCGTTATTGACGTCGTCGTCGCTGCCGTCGTTGTAGTCGTCATACGCCGTCTGCCATCCGCCGTCGCAGTCGTCGTCGTGCGTCGTCGCGGACGTCGTCGTCGTCGTCGACGCAGTCGTCGTCGTCGTCGTCGTCGGAGTCGTCGTCGCAGTCGTCGTCGTCGTCCGCGGTCCGCCGTCGCAGTCGCCGTCGTCGTCGTCGTTGTTGATTGACGTCGTCGTCGTCGTCGTAATCGTCAAGTGGTCATCGTCGGCGGCGGCGTTGTCGTCGTCGTCGTCGTCGTCTTGCGTCCGCCGTCGAAGTCGTCGGCGCCGCCGTCCGTTGTCCACAAATGCAGTCGTCGTCGTCGTCGTCACCGTCGTCGTCGTCGTCGGCGTCGTCGTCGGTGTCGGCGTCGTCGTTGTCGGGGTCGTCTTCTGCCGTCGCCGTCGCAATCGTCGTCGTCGTCGTGGACGTCGTCGCCGTCATCGTCGTCGTCCGCCATCCGCCGTCGTCGTTGTCGTTGTCGTCGTCGGCGTCTGCCGCACGCCGTCACAGTCGTCGTCGTCGTCGTCGTCTTCATTGTCTCCGCCGTTGTCGTCGTGGTCACCGTTGGCATCGTCGTCATCGTTGCCATCGTTGTCGTCGTCGCCGTCACCGTCCACCGTCGCACTCGTCGTCTCCGCCGTCGCCGCCGTCCGCAGCCGCAGTCGTCGTCGCCGTCATCGTCGTCGTGAACGTCGTCGTCATCGTCGTCCTCGTCCGCCATCCGCCGTCGTCGTCGTCGTCGTCCACCATGCGCCGTCGTCGTCGTCCGCCATCCGCCGTCGCAGTCGTCAGCGGCGTCGTTGTCGTTGTTGTCGTCGTCGTCGTTGTCGTCGCCACCGTCCTCAGTCGCAGTCGTCGGCGTCGTCGTCCGCCGTCCGCCGTCGCGGACGTCGTCGACGTCGTCGGCGCAGTCGTTGTCGTTGTCGTCGTCGTCGTCGCCGTCGTCGTCGTCGTCGTCGTCGTCATCCGCGGTCCGCCGTCGCCGTCGCCGTCGTCGTCGTCGTCGCCGTCGTCGTCGGGGTCGCCGTCGCCGTCGTCGACGTCGTCGTCGCTGTCGTCCTCGCTAACGTCGTCGTCGTCGTCCGTACGCAGGCACGGTCGTCGTCGAAGACACCGTCGTTGTCGTCGCCGTCGTCGTCGTCAGCACCGTCCGTTCTCCGCAATCGTAATCGTCGTCGCGGCCGTCGTGACAGTCGTCGTCGTCGTCGTCGCCGTCGTCGTCGCCGTCCGCCATCCGCCGTCGCCATCGTCGTCGTCGTCGTCGTCGGCCGTCCGCCGTCAAATTCGTCGTCGTTGTCGTCGTCAACGTCGTCGTCGTCGCCGTCCACCATCCGCCGACCGCCATCGCAGTCGTCGTCGTCGCCGTCGTCGCAGTCTTCGTCGCCGTTGTCGTCGTCTTCGTCGTCGTCGACAATCCGCCGTCGTCGACGGTCCACCGTCGCAGTCGTCCTCGTCGTCGTCGTAATCGTCGTCGTCATCGACGTCGTAGTCGCCGCCGTCGTCGTCGTCGTCGCCGTCGTCCGCCATCCGTCGTCGTCGTCGTCGTTGTCGTCGTCGGCCGTCCGCCATCGCAGTCGTCGTCGTCGAAGTCAGCGTCGTTGCCGCTGCCGCCGTGGTCGTCGTCGTCGTCCGCCAACAACCTTCGTCGTCGTCGTCGCCGTCGTCGTCGACGTCGTCGTTGTCGTCGAAGTCGTAGTCGTCGCCGTCACCGTCGTCGTCGACATCCGCCGTCCGCTGTCGTCGTCGCTGTCGTCGTCGACGTCACTGGCGTCGTCGGCGTCGTCGGCCGTCGTCGCCGCCGTCGTCGTCGTCGTCAACGTCGTCGCCGCCGCCGTCGTCGTCGCCGTCGTCGTCGTCGACGTCGTTGTCGTCGTCGCCGTCGGCGTCGTCGGTCGTCCACCGTCGCAGTCGTCGTCGTCGTCGTCGTCGGCAACGTTGCCGCCGTCGCCGTCGTCGTCAACGTTGCCGCCGCTGCCGCCGCCGTCATCGTCGTCGTCGTCGTCGTCGTCGTCGTCGAGGCTGGGCGCAAGGCTGGGCGCGAGGCCGAGGCCGAGGCCCGGCACTCGGGGCAAGTCGAGGCCCGGGCCGAGAGCTCGGCGGCGCGCGAGGGCGCCGGCGCCGGCGCCGCAGGCAAAGAGGCGCTCGGCGGCCCAGGGCCGCGAAGCGCGCGCGCCACGAGGCCGCGGGGGAGGCGCCGTGCGCGGGCACCCTCGGCGACTGCGAGGGGCGCGCGCGGCCTGCGGCGTGCACCCTATTGGGGGGCGCGCGAGGCGCTCGGCGGAGCTCCCCGCCGCGCCCCTCCTCCTCCTCCTCCTCCTCCTCCTCCTCCTCCTCCTCCTCCTCCTCCTCCTCCTCCTCCTCCTCCTCCTCCTCCTCCCTCCTCCGCCTCTCTCTCCTCCCTCCTCCTTCTCCTCCTCCTCCTCCTCTCCTCCTCCTCCTCCTCCTCCTCCTCCTCCTCCTCCTCCTCCTCCTCCTCCTCCTCCTCCTCCTCCTCCGCCTCTCTCCTCCTCCTCCTCCTCCTCCTCCTCCTCCTCCTCCTCCTCCTCCGCCTCAGCTCCTCCGCCTCCGCCTCCGCCTCCGCCTCCGCCTCCGCCTCCGCCTCCCGCCTCCTCCTCCTCCTCCTCCTCCTCCTCCTCCTCCCCTCCTCCTTCCTCCTCCTCCTCCTCCTCCTCCTCCTCCTCCTCCTCCTCCTCCTCCTCCTCCTCGGCCCGAGGAGGGCGGCGGGGAGCCCCCGCGGCGCAGGCCGCGGGCCACGCCCCGGACCGCAGCCGACTGCGGGCGCTGCGGCCGCCGACACCCCGGCGCGGCCTGCGGCTGCGCCGGCCGAGGCCCGGGGAGGCGGCGGGCCCACGCGACGGAACCCTCCGAGGAGGAGGAAAAGGAGGAGGAGGAGGAGGAGAAGGAGGAGTGTATGGATAAATCCCCGCCTCGCCGTTGCAAAGTCGGCCTCGCAGCGCGGGGGCGGCGGCGCTGAGCCGGCGGGGCGCCGCGAAGGAGCGCCGCGCGGCCGCCTGCGGAGCGGCGGCGGCCACGAGGGCCCACGAGCAGTGTGGATGGTAAGACATGGGTTTGGTGGTATCGTAGTGGTTAAGTGGTGGTTCTAGTCGCGTTCTAGTCGCGTTCTAGTCGCGTTCTAGTCGCGGTCTTGTCGCGACTAGAATTCTAGTCGCGTTCTGGTCGTGGGACCGTTTCGGGGTGGGGCGAGTAGTGCAATGATAGGACCGTGTGGATGCCATGACAATGGGCACTCCAACGATCCTGTCATTGAGCTACAAATGCGCTTAGAATGTGTAAAACATGTTCTGGAATTGTTTCAGAAGCATGTGTTTTTCATGTTTTGTTATTGTTTTGTTGTATTTGTTTATATAAACAAAAAAGAAGGAACAACAACAAAAAAAAACGAACCAAAAATGTTTAAACAACAAAAAAACAAAAACAAAAAAAAAAAAAACGTTCAGACGTGCTTGAAGCATGTTTTAGACATCCGGCAATGACTCGGCAGCATGCGTCCTCTCCATGAACCGACTTCCACAACACGAGCAGAGATGGCCCAGAGAGCGTCCTCCAGGAGAGGCGGATCTGATGGGTCGCTTTGGGGGAACGGGCGGGGCAGGTCTGGAAACCCAGAGTGGGCGATTCTGGGCCGAAGTTTCGGCCTCCTGGAACCCTCGCTGGGCATCGGGACCGTCCAAACACGACCCGAGACGAAAAACTGGCCCCAGGGGAAGTTGTGCGGACCGGGGCCCACGCATCAAAAAAGTTGGAGCGGCCAGATGTCTGGGACGGCGACGGCGGCGTTCGCAACAAGATGGGCCGTCAGGAATCGCAGCTCTCACTCTGCAGTGCGGATCCTTCTTGTGCAGCGGACCAGGCTGCGGAGCCGGCGCCAGGGACGCGCACCCGCCACCTTGTCCTCGGAGCCACAGGGGCTACCGGCAACATGATAACGATGATGATAGGCCTGCCCCGTCCGCTCCCCGTCCCCACACCTTGCGCCCAATGCCTCTGGCGGACGACTGCGCGCGCGCGCGCTGGCCCCGCTCCGCCGCCGCTGCCGCCTCCGCCTTTGTCTTGCCCTCGTGCTCGTCGGGTCTGGACGGCCGAGACTAGTACTTCGTGGGACGCATCCGTGGCGGGCAACATTGCACTGAGAGAACATGATGTTCGTGTTCTAGAGAAGGGTATGCCTCGCCTCCTCCTGGCCTTGACGTGAGGCCTCTCCTTCTGTTCCCCCCTCTGCCAATTCAGGCTTCGCGCGGCCCGCTCAGTCTCGACCGGAAGAGGTGCGCTCTCGACCCGCGAATCGAACAAATCGTGCTCTGGAGAAGGGATTTGCTGTCCGGATGGGGGTCAAGTAGGGGGAAAACAAACCTACCTCGCTTTTGACCACCCTCGCTTCCAAGAGATACCAAACGATGCCAAATTGCAGCCTGCACTGGTCGAGCCGCTTGACGAGGAGGCGCGTGGCATGGCCTGGTTTTGCCTGGAAGCGAAAGCGGGGTGGGTAATTCACGCTCCGGTCAAGGTTGGGTCTGCGGCCTCGGACCCCGTGGGCGCCGAGTCCTGCCACCATCAGCGGCAGCAGCGGTCGGGGCGGGCCCTGCGGCGGAGGTCGCCTGGGTCCGCCGGCGTGCCCTCCGGCGGCGTGCCGGGCCAGAGGGGGGCCGGGCGCGGGGCGGGCACGCAGAGGCGGGAGGGAGGGGCGCAGGCGGCCGCAAGAGGAGGGCCAGGAGGAGGAGCAGGAGGAGGAGGAGGAGGAGGAGGAGGAGGAGGGGGAGGAGGAGGAGGAGGAGGAGGAGGAGGAGGAGGAGGAGCAGGAGGAGCAGGGGCAGCAGGAGGAGCAGCAGGAACAGAAGCAGAGGCAGGAGCAGGAGCACCCGGGTGGCCCAGCAACGGCGAGGGCGTGGCGACGGCGAGGGCACGAGGGCCTGATGAGCTTCAGGATGTGGATCTCGCGGGCAACCCTCTCGACATCGGCGACCTCCACGATGCGCTCCTGGGGCCCCTCCTCCTCCACTGTGCGCTCTCTTTAGGTCGATGTGCTAGCTCCTCCTCCTCCTCCTCCTCCTCCTCCTCCTCCTCCTCCTCCTCCTCCTCCTCCTCAACATCATCATTAGAATCATCATCTTAATTCCCCTCCTCCTCCCCTCTCACCATCACCATTTCATCATCATCATCATCATCATCACCACCATCATGATCATGATCATCATCATCACCACCACCACCATCAGCAGTAGCATCATCATAATCATCACCACCACCACTACTATCATCATCATCACCACCATCAAGTGCAGTATCAGCATCAGCATCAGCATCAGCATCAGCAGCAGCATCATCAGCAGCATCAGCATCATCAACACCACTATCATCGTCATCATCAGCATCATCAGCAGCAACAGCACCCATCATAATCAGCATCATCATCATGATTCTAGTTATTATCATCATCGTTGTCCTCGTCCTCGTCCTCGTCCTCCTCCCCGTCCTCCTCCACCTCCTCCTCCTCCTCCTTGTCCTCCGCTTCTTCCACATCCTCCTCTTTTTTCACCTCCTCCTGCCGCTTCCGCTCCTCCACGAATTCCACGATGGCAAAGAAACTCTCAAAGTTTCTGCGTATTCCTCATTCTCCTCCTCCCTCCTCCTTGACGTCGCACAGACGTTGATCAAAGCGATCGCCACGTCGTCCTCCTTCTCTTCTTCCTTCTCCTCATAACGATCAGCAGCAGCAAATCATCAACATCGTCATCATAATCTCCAACATCGTCATCATTATCAGCATCAGCATCAGCATCAGCATCAGCATCAGCAACAGCATCATCCCCCTCAACATCACCACCAGTATCATCGTCATCATCATCAGCGTCAGCAGCATCATGATAGAAATAACCAAAAGGTAAGTCACCATAATACTACAATAATGATAACGGAAATTTTCTAGCAGACACAAAAATAATCCGATCTATGATACGAGTCGTTGTAGTAATACTGATACGAATAGTCTCACTGATGCTAGTACTGGTAGTAGTGATGAGAATCGAACCAGTAAGAACAGTAGTACTAGAAACAATCATTATTTCAAACAATGGTAGTAATAACTATGGCGGGAGCAGCCATACTAGTCATCTTGATAACGAGAACCGTCATCATCATCACCATCATCATCATCATCATCATCGTCATCATCATTATGATCAGCATCAGCATCAGCATCATCATCACCACCATCATTATCATCACCAGTGCCGCCATCTTCATCACAACATCGCCATTATCACGAGCATACTAATAATCAGCATCACCATCAACATCAACATCCTCATCACCATCATCGGCATCATCAGCATCATTACCATCATCATCAGCATAAGCAGCATCGTCATCATCAATAACATCATCATCAGCAGCATCATCATGATTTGTTTCTTCTTATCATTAGTATTGTCACCGTTATTGTCATCGTCATTGTCATCGTCGTCATCAATATCATCATCAACATCATCACCATCATCAATACCATCATCATCATCATCATCATCATCATCATCATCATCATCATCAGCATCATCATCCTCATAATCAGCATCATCATCCTCGTCATCACCACCATCATCGCCATCACCATCACCACCACCAAAACCACCACCATGATCATCACCAGCATCAGCATCAGCATCAGTATCAGCAGCATCATTGACAGCATCATTCATCATCATTAGCATCATCAACACCATTATCATCATCACCATCAGCATCATCATTCTCATCATCCTTGTCCTCGTCCTCGTCCTCGTCCTCGTCCTCGTCCTCCTCCACCTTCTCCTCCTCCTCGCCCACCTCTGCTTCCACATCCTCCTCTTCCCTCACCTCCTCCTGCCGCTTCCGCTCCTCCACGAGTTCCGCGATCTGACAGAGAAACTCCCAAGGTTTCTATTCCTCATCCTCCTCCCTCCATCCTCCTTTACGTCGCACAGACGTTGATCAAAGCGATCGCCACGTCGTCCTCCTTCTCCTCCTCCTTCTCCTCATAAACATCAGCAGCAGCAAATTATCAACATCATCTTCATCATCATCACCAACATCATCATCATCATCATCAGCAGCAGCAGCAGCAGCACCAGCATCAGCATCAGCATCAGCATCAGCATCATCATCATCAGCAGCAGCAACAGCAGCATCATCGTCATCATCGTCATCATCATCATCATCATCATCATCATCAGCATCAGCATCAGCATCATCACCAATACCACCACCACCACCACCATCATCATCATCAGCATCAGCAGCATCATCATAGAAACAGCCATCATATGATTCATCATACCAGTAAAGTAGCGATAACGAAAACCATGTGATAATAACAATGAGAATACTAGCAATAATATGAGTGCTAGAAATAACAATACGAATAGTCATAATAATGAGAGTAGTATTCATAATCACCGTAAAAGTAATGACACTAGTGTAGTTAAACTGATAGAATGATACGAGTAATGACCACTAACTTAAGAACATTCATAAAAATCAAATTGCTAACACATAATCAGACACATCATCCCCACCACCACCATCATCATCATCATCATCATCATCATCATCATCATCATCATCATCATCATCATCATCATCATCATCATCATCATCGTCATCGTCATCATCATCAGCATCATCATCAGCACCACCACCATCGTAATCATCACCATTGTCGTCATTATCACACCATCGTCATCATCATCACAATCGTACAAATAATCATCATCACCATCGCCATCACCATCATCATCAGCAGCATTCTTGCCATCGTCGTCATCATCATCACCAGCATCATCGACATCATCATCACCCTCATCATCATTCTTATTATGATTGCCATCGTCATCGTCCTCGTCATCGTCATGATCAACCTCATCATCTTCATCATCAATACCAGCGCTATCATCATCATAATCATCATCATCATCATCATCATCATCATCATCATCATCATCATCCTCGTCATCATCACCATCACCATCATCATCATCATCACCACCACCACCACTATGACTGTCACGGTCAACATCATCGTGAAAAGCAGCTCGTTCTACCGCCCGGCCCCCCTCCCGCCTTTCTGACTGCCCGCGCGGCTGCGTCAGTTGGGCTGGTTGGCTGATCGGCTGGTCGGCTGTCAGGGTGGCGACTCGGCTGGCTGGCTGGCTGTCTGGATGGTTGGTTGGGAGGTTGATTGCCTGATTGCTGGCTAGCGGGTTGGCAGGCTGACCGGTGTGAACAAGAGCATAAGACATTCGGCGTCACAGAAGGCTACATATTGAAGGGGACGGTGCGGGACTAGAATGGCGGTTGGGTGAAGGTAAGGCTGTCTGAGCCGACTGCGAACCCAAGCGGTGCGGACGTTGCACTAAGCTGAAGCTGCGCCAGGACTCCGACCAGCGCGTGTGGGATGGGCGGCTCTCCTGACCACGTGCGCAAAGACCGTCAAATTGCACGATGGATGGTGGCTTCGGGAGCGCGGATCGGCAGTGGCTTACGAAGGCGTGTTGCCTCGAAGGGCGCATCTGTCGGAATTTAGCAAGGGTGGTGGCCTCGGAACCTCGCTCTTGTCGTAATGTGCAAAGGGTGATGGCCTCGGGGGGGCGCATCCGTTGTAATTTGCCCATGCCGATGGACACGGCGGCGAGCACTTGTAGCAAATTGCAACATGTTGTGGCCTCGGAGGCGCACATCTGCGGCAAATTAAAACTGATGGGTGCGTCGGCAAGGCGGGCCCAAGAATCGTTTACGGAGGCATCGTGGCCATGGGAGCGCGGATCATCTATGGCTTCTCACATGGGATCGTGGCCTCGGGAGCTCGGGCCCACTCTTGTTCACAAAACATAGCTGCCCTGCGAGCGCAGACCCATCCGTTGTTTTGTATCGAAAGGGTTGTGGCTTCGGGGGTGCGGATCCACGGCTCGCGTTCGTCTACAGCCGATCGCGGCCTCGGGGGCGCAGGACCACCGCGTTTTTGCAAGGGGTCGTGGCCTCGGAAGCTCGCGCTTGTCGTGCTTTCACGTGGGCCACAGCACCCAGGAGCTGATGGAACATGGATTACGGAAGATAATGGGCTCCTTTCGGGCCAGGGGGCCGCGCGTTCCAGAGACTGCGAACATAGTTCCTCAGGTGCCAGAATGTTCTGTGTTGTGAGCCTCGAGAAGCAAGAGACGCACCCCCTAACCTTCGGGAGGTGACCTAAGTTAGGAGGGCCACAATCATTACGGATATGGGTTGCTTTGCCGAGCAAACGACACCACCCACAACTATAGTCAGGGATGTCCCTACAAACTGTGACCTGAGTTTGGTCACGAATTCATTGTGTTCTTAGAGTTAGGGATCGTCGTATGCTGACTGATAGAGTGGTGACTTCCAAAAGAACAGATATTCTGCGCTCTGGGACTGGTGATGTGCAAACAGACGATCGCCGAATTCTGAGCTCCTGACCCATCTCTGCACGGGCAGAATCCACCTAACCCACGCAGCTGGATGGCCCCCGCTAGCAGGGCCAGCGGAGTGATATATATATATATATATATATATATATATATATATATATATATATGCACACACATACATATATGTATATATACACATATACGTGTATGCTCCCCCTCCGCCGCCCACGCAGCCGATGGCTCCCGCATCAGGGACGCCCCATCACAGTCATCCAGAAGCAATGCACTGCACACTCACGTTCTCGTCTCGGCATGGGCCGCGTGCCGCGTGCTCATGCTCTCAGATGCCCGACCCTTTTCCCAACAAGGCGCATTTTTCTCATTGATTTATGTCTCTACTTGTTTTCTTTTTTTTGTTGAGCGGGGCGGCCCTTTTCCCAACACCGCGTGGGGATGCCACATTCCCCGACAGGGCGTCGCCCGTCAGGGACCTGCTCGCCCCGCCCCGCCCCGCCTGCCGCCGGGCAGGGTAAGCCCGCCCCGCCCGCTGCACGTCTCGATC